GACCTATAGCTGGCCATGATGTCTTTGATGGTCCTATAGCTGGCCATGATGTCTTTGATGACCTATAGCTGGCCATAGCTTTGATGACCTATAGCTGGCCATGATGTCTTTGATGGTCTATAGCTGGCCATGATGTCTTTGATGACCTATAGCTGGCCATGATGTCTTTGATGGTCTATAGCTGGCCATGATGTCTTTGATGACCTATAGCTGGCCATGATGTCTTTGATGACCTATAGCTGGCCATGATGTCTTTGATGGCCTATAGCTGGCCATGATGTCTTTGATGACCTATAGCTGGCCATGATGTCTTTGATGACCTATAGCTGGCCATGATGTCTTTGATGGTCTATAGCTGGCCATGATGTCTTTGATGACCTATAGCTGGCCATGATGTCTTTGATGACCTATAGCTGGCCATGATGTCTTTGATGACCTATAGCTGGCCATGATGTCTTTGATGACCTATAGCTGGCCATGGTGTCTTTGATGGTCTATAGCTGGCCATGATGTCTTTGATGACCTATAGCTGGCCATGATGTCTTTGATGGCCTATAGATGACCTATAGCTGCCATGATGTCTTTGATGACCTATAGGCCATGATGTCTTGATGTCTTTAGCTGGCCATGATGTCTATATAGCTGGCCATGATGTCTTTGATGGCCTATAGCTGGCCATGATGTCTTTGATGGTCCTATAGCTGGCCATGATGTCTTTGATGGCCTATAGCTGGCCATGATGTCTTTGATGACCTATAGCTGGCCATGATGTCTTTGATGGTCTATAGCTGGCCATGATGTCTTTGATGGTCTATAGCTGGCCATGATGTCTTTGATGGTCTATAGCTGGCCATGATGTCTTTGATGGTCTATAGCTGGCCATGATGTCTTTGATGGTCTATAGCTGGCCATGATGTCTTTGATGACCTATAGCTGGCCATGATGTCTTTGATGGTCTATAGCTGGCCATGATGTCTTTAACTGCTGAACTGCAAAGGATCCCTACCTGATTTTGGAAATGGTCTAAGATAATTATGTAACCAGTCATCTGGTACATTTGACTTTTGGATAGTATCATTAAAGTCCCTCACCACTCGTAATATTTCATCTCTACCAAGTGTTAGGGTTAGTTAGTTAGTTAGTTGGGTTATCATCATTGCACCCCGGACATGTCCATAGGTGCTCAGATCCTCCCCTCAGTATGAACCCCAATGTCCGATGACTAATAGTACCAGTTCTAGGTTGATTAACAAGTCTTCTGGTGTGTGTGTTAGGGTTTATAAAAGTGTAAGGTTTTTAAAAAAATGTGTAAGGCATTAAATATATAAGGTGTGAAGTATTAGATGAGATTTATAAATGTGTAGGGTGTTACATAACTGTGTAAGCTGTTATATATGGTTTTACATAATTATGTAAGATGTTATATAAAAGTATGTGAGGTGTTACACAGACAGCAGAGTTCAGATCTAGTACCTGGCCATTTCAGAGACAGTGGTGCCGTACAACTGTAGAGCAAATCCTGGACAAGGCAGACCCGTGAATTCAAAGTATCTGCCGCCAAGATGTCGCACGGGCTGTCAGAGAGATATAGAAGTTTCATGTGGAAGCAGATACTCAAGACAAAAACATATTTTATACACATCTGTTTAGTTTCCCACATAAGAACACACTTTTACACACACACATCTGTATAGTTCCCACCCCACATAAGAACACACTTTTACACACACACATCTGTATAGTTTCCTACACCAAACAAGAACACATTACTTCACACACACACACACACAAACACACATCTATATAGTTCCTACATCACACAAGAACTCACTGCTATACACACACAATCTGTATGGTTCCTTCATCACACAAGGACACACTTTTACACATATAAAGTTCTTACACCACGCAAGGACATATTTTTACACATATATCTGTAAAGTTCCCTCACGACGCAAGGACATATTTTTACACATATATCTATAAAGTTCCTACACCACACAAGGACATATTTTTACACATATATCTGTAAAGTTCCTACACCACACAAGGACATATTTTTACACATATATCTGTAAAGTTCCTACACCACACAAGGACATATTTTTACACATATAAAGTTCCTACACCACACAAGGACATATTTTTACACATATAAAGTTCCTACACCACGCAAGGACATATTTTTACACATATATCTGTAAAGTTCTTACACCACGCAAGGACAAATTTTTACACATATATCTGTAAAGTTCTTACACCACGCAAGGACATATTTTTACACATATATCTATAAAGTTCTTACACCACGCAAGGACATATTTTTACACATATATCTGTAAAGTTCCTACACCACGCAAGGACATATTTTTACACATATATCTGTAAAGTTCTTACACCACGCAAGGACAAATTTTTACACATATATCTGTAAAGTTCTTACACCACACAAGGACAAATTTTTACACATATATCTGTAAAGTTCTTACACCACGCAAGGACAAATTTTTACACATATATCTGTAAAGTTCCTACACCACGCAAGGACATATTTTTACACATACACCACGCAAGGACATATCTGTATATCTGTAAAGTTCTTACACCACGCAAGGACATATTTTTACACATATATCTGTAAAGTTCTTACACCACGCAAGGACACACACGCAAGCAAGGACAAATTTTTACACATATATCTGTAAAGTTCTTACACCACGCAAGGACATATTTTTACACATATATCTGTAAAGTTCTTACACCACGCAAGGACATATTTTTACACATATATCTGTAAAGTTCCTACACCACAATGGGACATATTTTTACACATATATCTGTAAAGTTCCTACACCACGCAAGGACATATTTTTACACATATATCTGTAAAGTTCCTACACCACGCAAGGACAAATTTTTACACATATATCTGTAAAGTTCTTACACCACGCAAGACATATTTTTACACATATATCTGTAAAGTTCTTACACCACGCAAGGACATATTTTTACACATATATCTGTAAAGTTCCTACACCACGCAAGGACATATTTTTACACATATATCTGTAAAGTTCTTACACCACGCAAGGACATATTTTTACACATATATCTGTAAAGTTCCTACACCACGCAAGGACATATTTTTACACATATATCTGTAAAGTTCTTACACCACGCAAGGACATATTTTTACACATATATCTGTAAAGTTCCTACACCACAATGGGACATATTTTTACACATATATCTGTAAAGTTCCTACACCACAATGGGACATATTTTTACACATATATCTGTAAAGTTCCTACACCACAATGGGACATATTTTTACACATATATCTGTAAAGTTCCTACACCACACAAGGACATATTTTTACACATATATCTGTAAAGTTCCTACACCACACAAGGACATATTTTTACACATATATCTGTAAAGTTCCTACACCACACAAGGACATATTTTTACACATATATCTGTAAAGTTCCTACACCACAATGGGACATATTTTTACACATATATCTATAAAGTTCTTACACCACACAAGGACATATTTTTACACATATATGTGAAAAGTTCCGACACCACACAAGGACACACTTTCACACAACCATGTAAAGTTGGTTGCATCCCAAACCAGAAAGTGTGACACACAAATATCCGAGCACTCACGTGGTAGTCAACGATAAGCTCCTGCTCCAGGTAGTACAGGTGAAAATGAAGGTGGTTGACGGAAGCAAAGGCACACAGACTGTTGAAGCCCATCCTCAAACCCCTGTGGGACATCACAGATATCAAAGTATGGGTGTGGCCAATATACCAGATATGAACATATGGGTGTGGCCAACATCAGATACTGACATATGGGTTTCACCAATGTAACAGATATGAACAAATGGTTGTGCCCAATGTCACAGATAATATAACCCTTGACCTGTTAGGGTCGTGGAGGTGTATCGATGAAAGCACTAGCACGTAAAACCCATAATCTTTCTCTGTCTTCTGCTTGAAGAATAAGTGTATGAAAACTTAGTCTTCTCCATTTCTTGATGCTGTCATTACAGCTTCTTCTTTGCCCTCCTCTTCTTCGACTACCCTCCAATATTCCTCGAAGTACAGTCTTTGCAATCTAATCATGTCTCATCACGTGCCCGAACCAAGCTAGCGTGCGACGTTTTACACTGCCAAAAGAGGCTCTTGATGTCCCGCAAATTTGTGTATGTTGTCTCTGACATATTTATTAGTTTTGTGTTCCTAATAACCAATTCGTTAAATATGTCCATAGCATTTACATTTGAAAGCCTAATATCACAGATATGAACATACGGGCGTGGCCAATATCACAGATATGAACATGCAGGCATGGCCAATATCACAGATATGAACATACAAGTGCGGCCAATATCACAGATATGAACATACAGGCGTGGCCAATATCACAGATATGAACATACGGGCGTGGCCAATATCACAGATATGAACATACAAGTGCGGCCAATATCACAGATATGAACATACAGGCGTGGCCAATATCACAGATATGAATATACGGGCGTGGCCAATATCACAGATATGAACATACGGGTGTGGCCAATATCACAGATAAGAACATACGGGTGTGGCCAATATCACAGATATGAACATACGGGTGTGGCCAATATCACAGATATGAACATACAAGTGCGGCCAACATCACAGATATGAACATACAAGTGCGGCCAACATCACAGATATGAACATACAAGTGCGGCCAACATCACAGATATGAACATACAAGTGCGGCCAACATCACAGATATGAACATACAAGTGCGGCCAACATCACAGATATGAACATACAAGTGCGGCCAACATCACAGATATGAACATACAAGTGCGGCCAACATCACAGATATGAACATACAAGTGCGGCCAACATCACAGATATGAACATACAGGCGTGGCCAATATCACAGATATGAACATACGGGTGTGGCCAATATCACTGGTATAAACAACATACATGAGTGACCAACGTCTCTGAAATAACATAAGGAGTGATCAACTTCCCTGACATAAACAACACAGGTGCGGCCAACATCACTGATATAAACAACATACATGAGTGACCAACATCTCTAACATAAACAACATTTAGGAGTGATCAACTTCCCTGACATAAACAACATACAGGTGCGGCCAACATCACTGATATAAAAAACATATAGGAGTGACCAACATCACTGATATTAACAACATATAGGAGTGACCAACATCAGATACTGACATATGCATGCGGCCAGGGAATTTTTTTTAACACAAAAAAGTGATAGTACATACTACAAAGTATCTAAAAAGGTGCCAGTACTCAGCACAAACTGTCTAAAAGTGTGCCAGTACTCAGCAAAAACTGTCTAAAAGTGTGCCAGTACTCAGCACAAATTGTCTAAAAGTGTGCCAGTACTCAGCACAAATTGTCTAAAAGTGTGCCAGTACTCAGCACAAACTGTCTAAAAGTGTGCCAGTACTCAGCACAAATTGTCTAAAAGTGTGCCGGTACTGAGCACAAACTGTCTAAAAGTTTGCCAGTACTCAGCACAATCCAACAGTGTGCCAGTACTCAGCACAAACTGTCTAAAAGTGTGCCAGTACTCAGCACAAACTATCTAAAAGTGTGCCAGTACTCAGCACAAACTGTCTAAAAGTGTGCCAGTACTCAGCACAAACTGTCTAAAAGTGTGCCAGTACTCAGCACAAACTGTCTAAAAGTGTGCCGGTACTGAGCGCAAATTGTCTAAAAGTTTGCCAGTACTCAGCACAATCCAACAGTGTGCCAGTACTCAGCACAAACTGTCTAAAAGTGTGCCAGTACTCAGCACAAACTGTCTAAAAGTGTGCCAGTACTCAGCACAAACTGTCTAAAAGTGTGCCGGTACTGAGCACAAACTGTCTAAAAGTGTGCCAGTACTCAGCACAAACTGTCTAAAAGTGTGCCAGTACTCAGCACAAACTGTCTAAAAGTGTGCCGGTACTGAGCACAAATTGTCTAAAAGTTTGCCAGTACTCAGCACAAATTGTCTAAAACTGTGCCGGTACTGAGCACAAACTGTCTAAAACCAATCTTGGCCTCGAGGGCAAGCCTAGATGTACTTCACCATGCTTTACTTCCAGGTCATACCATCTCACGAACTGGAACGACACGTTTACTTACTGATTTTCTTACCTGTGTCCGCTAAGTAGCATCGTCTCTATAGCAACCTGTATGCCGGTCTGTGTCAGAACCTGCAAGAGAGGTCACAAAGATGTCATCGTATGACAGCCAGCTCTTCTCATTCGTTAACTCTGAGCTTGTTCTGTTCCCAGCAAATCTCAAGCATCAAGAGATGGAGGGCGCAGGGGTAGAGTACCCGCTTAGCACCCTGATCAGGGTTATGTGAAGTCATGGCAGGCGATGGATAAACGTGGTGACCACCTGAGAAGTTTTCAGTCCTGGTCATCACTATAACTGTCTAGGCAGAGGATGCCTCTATAAGCACAATAACTGGGACATCCCGTCCCATATGGGCAATGCTGTCACAGAATGAAACTGCAACCAACCTGCTGTGAGTAGTCTTCAAAGAAAAGTCATGACTATAAGAAGGAGAAAACTGAAGTACCCTGTGACAGTCGGAAAACTGGAGAGGAAAAGGGGGCAGAGGAGACAGAGAGAGAAAATGCTGGATAGTTTGATATGGAAGATCATTTGTGTCAGAACTGACTGAAAGTACATGAGACAGAAGGGTGTGGACAGACATGATTACCAATGCCACATATAAAGGCCCAGGTATACTGGGCATATAGGGCTGGACTGGTTGCCAGCACTTCCCAGAACTTAACCTGGTACCCATTTAAGGCTGGGTCAACCTGGGAGCCAAGAACAATGCCATATGGTATCGGAATATAAGAGCAGAAGAACCTTCTGGCAATCTTGCACCATGCAGTTTTGTAGTTCCTGGCAATCTTGCACCATGCAGTTTGTAGTTCCTGGCAATCTTGCACCATGCAGTTTGTAGTTCCTGGCAATCTTGCACCATGCAGTTTGTAGTTCCTGGCAATCTTGCACCATGCAGTTTGCAGTTCCTGGCAATCTTGCACCATGCAGTTTGTAGTTCCTGGCAATCTTGCACCATGCAGTTTGTAGTTCCTGGCAATCTTGCACCGTGCAGTTTGTAGTTCCTGGTAATCTTGCACCATGCAGTTTGTAGTTCCTGGCAATCTTGCACCATGCAGTTTGTAGTTCCTGGCAATCTTGCACCATGCAGTTTGTAGTTCCTGGTAATCTTGCACCATGCAGTTTGTAGTTCCTGGCAATCTTGCACCGTGCAGTTTGTAGTTCCTGGTAATCTTGCACCATGCAGTTTGTAGTTCCTGGCAAACTTGCACCATGCAGTTTGTAGTTCCTGGCAAACTTGCACCATGCAGTTTGTAGTTCCTGGTAATCTTGCACCATGCAGTTTGTAGTTCCTGGCAATCTTGCACCGTGCAGTTTGTAGTTCCTGGTAATCTTGCACCATGCAGTTTGTAGTTCCTGGCAATCTTGCACCATGCAGTTTGTAGTTCCTGGCAAACTTGCACCATGCAGTTTGTAGTTCCTGGTAATCTTGCACCGTGCAGTTTGTAGTTCCTGGCAATCTTGCACCATGCAGTTTGTAGTTCCTGGCAAACTTGCACCATGCAGTTTGTAGTTCCTGGCAAACTTGCACCATGCAGTTTGTAGTTCCTGGCAAGCTCCATCTCAAGGTGATCCCCAGCAACCTTCCCTTCACTAGTCAGACTTTGGGTGTGTTTCCAGGATACCCTGCGGCCAGGTGAAATCTTTAGTGCAGAAGATGATGTGCATATTCTACCGCTCACCTGAGGTCTGTGGGAGTCGATTTGAGGCACCAGCAGACAGTGACCGTACTCCATGGGGCTGACATTGACAATCACCATGTGCCTCTCGTCCCGTGTGGCTTCGTCTGTGTTGGCGTGATCTTTCAAGTCACCTGACTGAGGAAAGAGAAAGTCACATGACTGATGGAAAAGAAACAATAGGATTTAAAATACATTTCTACCTGTCTTTATTTCCTACATTATGGATTATTTAAAAAGAAAAAAAAAGAAGAAAAAAAAACACACAGTTAAAACAGAAGTAAAGTAAGGTTATTAGCATTATCTTAAATCTTTAATGAATAAACAGCATTCGAAGGTTTTATGTGTTAGTGAATTATCCCAGATTATCTCTCGGATAAGCTCAGGCGATGTAGGGATCATGCTTTGCGCATTGCTGTTAGCAGGTAACCATTATGCACACAGGGACTGACCCAGAAATGAAAAAAATGAAGTCAACATCTCTTAGCTTTAATCCTTGCATTGCATCACACGACAAGGATAGGAGAAGATGCCTGAGGGAAGCTGCCTGCTTGACCATCCAAGACCAATGAGAAAAGAAAACATTGCAGAAATTTGTGTATACCTGGGTAAAGACCTGATATCACAGCATTCAGGACAAGCACATATTAGCTCTGTCCCATTCTCAAAAGCTAGCGAAGATTCCCCAAACAGACGGTACCCCTTGCCATCTGGTTGACTACCCATCTCGTCTTTTCTTTGAGCCTCAAGTGGCACTGCAGACATTCCCAGCTACATCATTCTCTCCAGGTATGAATTTTCAATATTTTCCATTTTTGGGGTTACCTCATCCCAGGTCACCTCTGCCTTGTGCAGCTGCAGTACACCCCCAAGTGGGAACCAACCTACCTTGTGGAAAAGCAGCTTATTTATAAGCGGATGGTACTGCAGCTACAACAACTACCAACACAGGTGATACACATAACAGGATCTGATAGGACAGTAATGATTGAATCAATCAATCAAGGTCTGACATCACTGCGCTCCGTCCCCTTCTTCAGTAGCCAACAAAGAATCGGATAGCTCATAGTACCAGCTGCAACCTGATTAAAAGTTGGCCTATGTTTTTACCTCAGCGTTGAACATCTTCCAGAACCTCTTCTTACTCTCCCTGTTGCATAAGTCTTTCAATGTATGGATACTCAGCTCTATTATATTGTTACTGGATCCAAGAGAGCCTTCATCCTGTCCGCCTTATCATCAAGTAGCTCACCACCCAAAGGAGCATCAGCAGCTAACCTACAGGATTCTATAGATTCTGATATGAAATTAGGAGGGTGCGCAAGAGGAAGATGGATTTTTGACATTTAGGACATTGCACATCCACAGGGAGAAGAAAGACTTTTGACATTTAAGACATTGCACATCCACAGGGAGAAGAAAGACTTTTGACATTTAAGACATTGCACATTCACAGGGAGAAGAAAGACTTTTGACATTTAAGACATTGCACATCCACAGGGAGAAGAAAGACTTTTGACATTTAAGACATTGCACATCCACAGGGAGAAGTGAAATTTTTGACATTTAAGACATTGCACATCCACAGGGAGAAGAAAGACTTTTGACATTTAAGACATTGTGCATCCACAGGGAGAAGTGGAATTTTTGACATTTAAGACATTGCACATCAGTAGGGAGAAGAAAGACTTTTGACATTTAAGACATTGCACATCCACAGGGAGAAGAAAGACTTTTGACATTTAAGACATTGTGCATCCACAGGGAGAAGAAAGAATTTTGACATTTAAGACATTGTGCATTCACAGGGAGAAGAAAGACTTTTGACATTTAAGACATTGCACATCCACAGGGAGAAGAAAGACTTTTGACATTTAAGACATTGCACATCCACAGGGAGAAGAAAGACTTTTGACATTTAAGACATTGTGCATCCACAGGGAGAAGAAAGACTTTTGACATTTAAAACATTGTGCATTCACAGGGAGAAGAAAGACTTTTGACATTTAAGACATTGCACACCCACAGGGAGAAGAAAGACTTTTGACATTTAAGACATTGCACATCCACAGGGAATTAAAAATGGCCAGCTTCTCCCATTGTGCGCCGGACCAAAAATTGTTCCTATCCACGATGTTTCACAGTAAAAATGGAAGGTGTTGGTGATGATTTAGACATCATATGACAGTTTCCTACCTGTGAGATGACAGGAGACACAGATGACAGTCCGTCAGTACACCCATTATGTACATCATTATAGCCGATGGATGTCAGACCATTTCTCATGGCTCTGTGTGGGGTTCCGACCTCTGCTGACCTGTGTGAGGTCCCGATCTCTGCTGACCTGTGTGGGGTCCCGACCTCTGCTGACCTGTGTGGGGTCCTGACCTCTGCTGATCTGTGTGGGGTCCCATCCTCTGCTGACCTGTGCGGGGTCCCGACCTCAGCTGACCTGTGTGGGGTCCCGACCTCTGTTGACCTGTGTGGGGCCCTGACCTCTGCTGACGTGGGTGAGGCCCCGACCTCTGCTGACCTGTGTGGGGTCGTGACCTCTGCTGACCTGTGTGGGGTCACATTCTGAAGGGTGAAGATCACCTCCTGTGGTTTGACCATGGTGAAGCAAAAGGCCTGTTTGTTGAAAGGCTGGTTGACGCTTGAGATTTCCTGGGGCACTCTTCTCTCTGTAGCTCGTAATGTGTTCAACTGTTAGTGACAGAAAATTTAGCTTTCACAACCTGGAATTTTACTTCTTCTTCTTAGCGCTCAGTGGCTGTAAACTCCAATGGAAAGTTCATCCACTTCTAGACTTTGGTTCTTTTCAAGAAGAGCTGCGCATGCAGTTCTGTTTTACAGATCTTGCTTATGTGCATGCAGACTGTTTGATCCTTGCCTCGCAGACGGATGCACTCTGACTTCGAAGAAAACACCCCTAATTAGTCTACTTTTAAGACAAGCTTTCAGGGGGCCGTGGGTCTACCCCTTCCTCCCCCCCCCCCCAAATTGGGCTGAGTTCTTATTGTGGGGGACAATAAGAAAAGACACACCACCTCCTTACAAGCATGTCGAAAAGTCAACTAATTAAGGGGGTTTCCTTCAAAGTCAGAGTGCATCCGCCTGCGAGGCAAGGAACCAACAGTCTGCATGCACATAAGCAAGATCTGCAGAACGAATGTACACACAAAACTCAAGTTCTGCAACAAGAGTAAAGTCCAGAAAAGGATGAACACACAGAACTTTCTGCTGAGGTACAGCTGTTGAACGCAAACCTACAAACTGACACAAACACACAAAAAAGTTAACACTGAATGTGTGTCCTCAGTTGTTTCATTCTTGTGGAGCTACGGAGGAAGAAACTGAGCACCTATGGATCTGTCTGAAGTGCTGTGATGATGGTGGTCACTGATTTAACAGTCCATCACAGCCAGACAAGGCATACTCACAGATGTTCTGTCTCTCACGGCACTTGTCTTAGTGTGCAGATGCTGTAGGTGAGAGAAAGAAAGTCTGTGGGAGAATGAGACAAGGCATACTCACAGATGTTCTGTCTCTCACGGCACTTGTCTTAGTGTGCAGATGCTGTAGGTGAGAGAAAGAAAGTCTGTGGGAGAATGAGACAAGGCATACTCACAGATGTTCTGTCTCTCACGGCACTTGTCTTAGTGTGCAGATGCTGTAGGTGAGAGACAGAAAGTCTGTGGGAGAATGAGACAAGGCATACTCACAAATGTTCTGTCTCTCACGGCACTTGTCTTAGTGTGCAGATGCTGTAGGTGAGAGAAAGAAAGTCTGTGGGAGAATGAGACAAGGCATACTCACAGATGTTCTGTCTCTCACGGCACTTGTCTTAGTGTGCAGATGCTGTAGGTGAGAGAAAGAAAGTCTGTGGGAGAATGAGACAAGGCATACTCACAGATGTTCTGTCTCTCACGGCACTTGTCTTAGTGTGCAGATGCTGTAGGTGAGAGAAAGAAAGTCTGTGGGAGAATGAGACAAGGCATACTCACAGATGTTCTGTCTCTCACGGCACTTGTCTTAGTGTGCAGATGCTGTAGGTGAGAGAAAGAAAGTCTGTGGGAGAATGAGACAAGGCATACTCACAGATGTTCTGTCTCTCACGGCACTTGTCTTAGTGTGCAGATGCTGTAGGTGAGAGACAGAAAGTCTGTGGGAGAATGAGACAAGGCATACTCACAAATGTTCTGTCTCTCACGGCACTTGTCTTAGTGTGCAGATGCTGTAGGTGAGAGAAAGAAAGTCTGTGGGAGAATGAGACAAGGCATACTCACAGATGTTCTGTCTCTCACGGCACTTGTCTTAGTGTGCAGATGCTGTAGGTGAGAGACAGAAAGTCTGTGGGAGAATGAGACAAGGCATACTCACAGATGTTCTGTATCTCACGGCACTTGTCTTAGTGTGCAGATGCTGTAGGTGAGAGACAGAAAGTCTGTGGGAGAATGAGACAAGGCATACTCACAGATGTTCTGTCTCTCACGGCACTTGTCTTAGTGTGCAGATGCTGTAGGTGAGAGAAAGAAAGTCTGTGGGAGAATGAGACAAGGCATACTCACAGATGTTCTGTCTCTCACGGCACTTGTCTTAGTGTGCAGATGCTGTAGGTGAGAGAAAGAAAGTCTGTGGGAGAATGAGACAAGGCTAGCAGAACATTAACAGCAAGTCTGAGTGAACAGATGGCAGTACGTCAATGAGAGGTAACAGGGTTGATTCAAAAACAGAGAAAATCATAGAAAAACACACAAAAAGTGTAAAAAAGAGAGAGAGAGAGAAAGAGAGAGAGAGTGTGTGAGAGAGAGAAAGAGAGAGATAGAGATGATGGGCTGCAAGTCCTCCACAGATTCAAACTGCCAGGTTCTCACTTGACTGATAATCGGCTAGAACAGGAATCTCTCTCTCCTGCATGTGCAGAGCATGTCTGTGGCGCATGTCCAGCATTCTGCAGTGCCTGCTGTGCCCAGTTTGCAATCTGAAGCACAAGGGTCTGTTGCTCTCAAATAAGAGGCTGAGTAGACCAATTCAGTCTTTTCTCACACATTCAAAAGAAGAAAAAAGACACTAAAGATGAGAAAAACAGAGGGGGAAATATGTGTGCAACCCCCCCCCCCCCCCCCCCCCCCAAAAAAAAACAACCCCAGAAGACAGCCAAAAGGAGTAGAGTAAAAATCATAATCATCATCCTCCTGTAACGTTGCGCATCATTGGGTCACCAGCTGCTGCTGACTGTCTGACCAGCTCCCTCCACATTTGGCGGTCAGATACAATGGACTTCAGCGTCGCCTGTCCAGTCAGTCAAGTTGTGTATCCAGATTTTTCCTGGTCTGCCCTTTCTCCTCTTCCCCTCTACTGAGCCCTGTAGTATTGTTTTGCAGAGACTGTTAGACCATAGAAATATGACAGATTAAACAAGAACTAAGAGAAAATTACCTGGCCAACATATTGCTTGGAGCCAGGTATGATTTTGGTGACAATGTGATCAATACCGTAGCGGAACACCCCCGACTCCATAGCTTTGTTCCATCGCCTCTGGAGCTCGATGTCAAACTGATGTAAAAAGTAACATTAACAATTACGGGGTAAGAACTCATGTTAACAAGGTGTAAATACAGATGGCACAAAGCAGTGTTCTTCAATCGGTGAGCTACGACCCACTGGTGGGCCATGGAAAAGTCCAGGTGGGCAGCCAAAAATGCCTGCCTCATTGTGTAACAGGGTCGAGTAGGTAGTTTTTCTCCTCCATGATTGCTGTCTGCAGGATAAAAATCGCACAGATGAGAAACAAACCAGTTATGAATACTGGAAACCTCTTTCAACCGCATAAAACAGTAATATTTTATCACCCGACAGTTCGTAATCTGTCTGGGCTAGGATTAAGGTCCATAACCCATGTATATTACTACAAAGCGAGTGTGATCCCTCTAACTTCTGAAGACACTGGCAACCCTTTAACCCCTTCATCCTGAGAATTTGCAAAATCAATACTTCCGGTTGGATCCAAGTACCTATAATTGTCACTTGTTTAACTTGTCTGACCGATCTGGTTTTTTGTAGCCACATAGAAACGCAGTAAGTTGTAAAGACACAAACATTTAGGCCAATGTATGAATGCACTAAGAAAACACTGGAACAAAAAAAACTAAAAGACATGCAGTGACATCAAATAGAAGACACTGATAGAAGTACTAGAAGACACTGGCATTTAATCCACTAGAATCACTGGCATTAAGCACTAGAAGACACTGGCAGTAAGCACTAGAAGACACTGGCAGTGTGGCACTAGAAGACACTGGCAAAGGAAGCACTAGAAGACACTGGCAGTAAGCACTAGAAGACACTGGCAATAAGCACTAGAAGACACTGGCAGAAGACACTGGCAGTAAGCACTAGAAGACACTGGCAGTAAGCACTAGAAGACACTGGCAGTGAGCACTAGAAGACACTGGCAATAAGCACTAGAAGACACTAGCAGTAAGCACTAGAAGACACTAGCAGTAAGCACTAGAAGACACTGGCAGTAAGCACTAGAAGACACTGGCAGTAAGCACTAGAAGACACTGGCAGTAAGCACTAGAAGACACTAGCAGTAAGCACTAGAAGACACTGACAGTAAGCACTAGAAGACACTGGCAGTAAGCACTAGAAGACACTGGCAGTAAGCACTAGAAGACACTGGCAGTAAGCACTAGAAGACACTGGCAGTAAGCACTAGAAGACACTGGCAGTGAGCACTAGAAGACACTGGCAGCACTAGTAAGCACTAGAAGACACACTGGCAGTAAGCACTAGAAGACACTGGCAGTAAGCACTAGAAGACACTGGCAGTAAGCACTAGAAGACACTGGCAGTAAGCACTAGAAGACACTGGCAGTAAACACTAGAAGACACTGGCAGTAAGAAGACACTAGCAGTAAGCACTAGAAGACACTGGCAGTAAGCACTAGAAGACACTGGCAGTAAGCACTAGAAGACACTGGCAGTAAGCACTAGAAGACACTGGCAGTAAGCACTAGAAGACACTGGCAGTAAGCACTAGAAGACACTGGCAGTAAGCACTAGAAGACACTGGCAGTAAGTACTAGAAGACACTAGAAGACACTGGCAGTAAGCACTAGAAGACACTGGCAGTAAGCACTAGAAGACACTGGCAGTAAGCACTAGAAGACACTGGCAGTAAGCACTAGAAGACACTGGCAGTAAGCACTAGAAGACACTGGCAGTAAGAAGACACTGGCAGTAAGCACTAGAAGACACTGGCAGTAAGCACTAGAAGACACTGGCAGTAAGCACTAGAAGACACTGGCAGTAAGCACTAGAAGACACTGGCAGTAAGCACTAGAAGACACTGGCAGTAAGCACTAGAAGACACTGGCAGTAAGCACTAGAAGACACTGGCAGTAAGCACTAGAAGACACTGGCAGTAAGCACTAGAAGACACTGGCAGTAAGCACTAGAAGACACTGGCAGTAAGCACTAGAAGACACTGGCAGTAAGCACTAGAAGACACTGGCAGTAAGCACTAGAAGACACTGGCAGTAAGCACTAGAAGACACTGGCAGTAAGCACTAGAAGACACTGGCAGTAAGCACTAGAAGACACTGGCAGTAAGCACTAGAAGACACACTGGCAGTAAAGCACTAGAAGACACTGGCAGTAAGCACTAGAAGACACTGCAGTAAGCACTAGAAGACACTGGCAGTAAGCACTACTAGACAAGAGTAAGCACTAGAAGACACTGGCAGTAAGCACTAGAAGACACTGGCAATAAGCACTAGAAGACACTGGCAGTAAGCACTAGAAGACACTGGCAGTAAACACTAGAAGACACTGACAGTAAGCACTAGAAGACACTGACAGTAAGCACTAGAAGACACTGGCAGTAAGCACTAGAAGACACTGACAGTAAGCACTAGAAGACACTGGCAGTAAGCACTAGAAGACACTGCCAGTAAGCACTAGAAGACACTGACAGTAAACACTAGAAGACACTGACAGTAAGCACTAGAAGACACTGACAGTAAGCACTAGAAGACACTGGCAGTAAGCACTAGAAGACACTGGCAGTAAGCACTAGAAGACACTGGCAGTAAGCACTAGAAGACACTGGCAGTAAGCACTAGAAGACACTGACAGTAAGCACTAGAAGACACTGGCAGTAAGCACTAGAAGACACTGGCAGTAAGCACTAGAAGACACTGGCAGTAAGCACTAGAAGACACTGGCAGTAAGCACTAGAAGACACTGGCAGTAAGCACTAGAAGACACTGGCAGTAAGCACTAGAAGACACTGGCAGTAAACACTAGAAGACACTGGCAGTAAGCACTAGAAGACACTGGCAGTAAACACTAGAAGACACTGGCAGTAAGCACTAGAAGACACTGGCAGTAAGCACTAGAAGACACTGGCAGTAAGCACTAGAAGACACTGGCAGTGAGCACTAGAAGACACTAGTAGTGAGCACTAGAAGACACTAGCAGTAAGCACTAGAAGACACTGGCAGTAAGCACTAGAAGACACTGGCAGTAAGCACTAGAAGACACTGGCAGTAAGCACTAGAAGACACTGGCAGTAAGCACTAGAAGACACTGGCAGTAAGCACTAGAAGACACTGGCAGTAAGCACTAGAAGACACTGGCAGTAAGCACTAGAAGACACTGGCAGTGAGCACTAGAAGACACTGGCAGTAGACTAGACACTGACACTGGCAGTGAGCACTAGAAGACACTGGCAGTAAGCACTAGAAGACACTGGCAGTAAACACTAGAAGACACTGGCAGTAAGCACTAGAAGACACTGGCAGTAAGCACTAGAAGACACTGGCAGTAAGCACTAGAAGACACTGACAGTAAGCACTAGAAGACACTGGCAGTAAGCACACTAGAAGACACTGGCAGTAAGCACTAGAAGACACTGGCAGTAGCACTAGAAGACACTGGCAGTAAAGCACTAGAAGACACTGGCAGTAAGCACTAGAAGACACTGGCAGTAAGCACTAGAAGACACTGGCAGTAAGCACTAGAAGACACTGGCAGTAAGCACTAGAAGACACTGGCAGTAAACACTAGAAGACACTGGCAGTAAGCACTAGAAGACACTGGCAGTAAGCACTAGAAGACACTGGCAGTAAACACTAGAAGACACTGGCAGTAAGCACTAGAAGACACTGGCAGTAAGCACTAGAAGACACTGGCAGTAAGCACTAGAAGACACTGGCAGTAAGCACTAGAAGACACTGGCAGTAAGCACTAGAAGACACTGACAGTAAGCACTAGAAGACACTGGCAGTAAGCACTAGAAGACACTGACAGTAAGCACTAGAAGACACTGGCAGTAAGCACTAGAAGACACTGGCAGTAAGCACTAGAAGACACTGGCAGTAAGCACTAGAAGACACTGGCAGTAAGCACTAGAAGACACTAGAAGACTAGAAGACACTGGCAGTAAGCACTAGAAGACACTGGCAGTAAGCACTAGAAGACACTGGCAATAACAGTAAAGACACTAGAAGACACACTGGCAGTAAACACTAGAAGACACTGGCAGTAAACACTAGAAGACACTGGCAGTAAGCACTAGAAGACACTGGCAGTAAGCACTAGAAGACACTGACAGTAAGCACTAGAAGACACTGACAGTAAGCACTAGAAGACACTGGCACACTAGAAGACACTGCCAGTAAGCACTAGAAGACACTGACAGTAAGCACTAGAAGACACTGACAGTAAGCACTAGAAGACACTGGCAGTAAGCACTAGAAGACACTGACAGTAAGCACTAGAAGACACTGGCAGTAAGCACTAGAAGACACTGGCAGTAAGCACTAGAAGACACTGGCAGTAAGCACTAGAAGACACTGACAGTAAACACTAGAAGACACTGACAAGCACTAGAAGACACTGACAGTAAGCACTAGAAGACACTGACAGTAAACACTAGAAGACACTGGCAGTAAGCACTAGAAGACACTGGCAGTAAGCACTAGAAGACACTGGCAGTAAGCACTAGAAGACACTGACAGTAAGCACTAGAAGACACTGACAGTAAACACTAGAAGACACTGGCAGTAAGCACTAGAAGACACTGGCAGTAAGCACTAGAAGACACTGAAGCAAGTACTGCAGTAAAGAAGACACTGAGCAGTAAGCACTAGAAGACACTGGCAGTAAACACTAGAAGACACTGGCAGTAAGCACTAGAAGACACTGGCAGTAAGCACTAGAAGACACTGGCAGTAAGCACTAGAAGACACTGGCAGTGAGCACTAGAAGACACTGGCAGTAAGCACTAGAAGACACTGGCAGTAAGCACTAGAAGACACTGGCAGTAAGCACTAGAAGACACTGGCAGCACTAAAGACACTAGAAGACACTGGCAGTAAGCACTAGAAGAAGACACTGGCACTAGAAGACACTGGCAGTAAGACTAGAAGACACTGGCAGTAAGCACTAGAAGACACTGGCAGTAAGCACTAGAAGACACTGGCAGTAAGCACTAGAAGACACTGGCAGTAAGCACTAGAAGACACTGGCAGTAACTAGAACACTAG